GATCGAACCGGACGTCTAGTTGAGTTTAATGAAAAGCTTCTTGAAGCAGCCCTTGAAGAAAATCCTGCTTTATCAGTTGAGGAATTGGCAGTGGTTCTCACTTCAAACCATACAACTGTTCATCATCATCTTCAACAACTTGGAAAAGTTCCTAAACTTAGAAAATCATGAATTGTCTGAAAACAACCTCAACCGAGTTGACATCTGTTCTTCTCTCCATTCTCGCCAACTTGTTTCACCTTTTTTGGATAGACTTGTGACTGGCGACGAAAAATGGATCTTTTATCGAAATGTTAAGCGTCGTAGACAGTGGTTTGGTAAAGGGAAAGGACCCCAGCCACAGCCGAGAAGGGAACTTCATGGGAAAAAGGTTCGTCTTTCAATCTGGTGGGATCTCCAAGGAATAATCCATTTTGAATTCTTACCACCTAATGTAACAATTAATGTTCAAATATACTGTCAGCAATTAGAGCGTTTGAACCAAGCTTTGAGGAAAAAAGACGTGCTCTACTGAATTGAAAAGGGGGGATGTTTCATCAGGACAATGCGCGACCCCACACAGCAAGAATCACGTCACAAAACATCGAAGAACTTGGTTGGGAGAAAATTCCTCATCCACCTTATTCTCCCGATCTTGCTCCTTCACACTACCATTTGTTTCGTAGCTTACAGAATAATTTGGAAGAAACAGCTTTTGTAACCCAGGAATAAGTTAAAACTGACATTTGTGAGTTCTTCGAATCAAAGCCAAAAGAATTTTACAGTAATGGAATTAGTAAGCTTGTTAATAGATGGAAGGAAGTCATAGATAATCAGGGAAAATACATTGTTGATTGAATCTGTAATTAAATGTAACATTTGGTCACTTGTTTTTTTTCATTCAAAATTCGAACAGAACTCATGGGATGACCTTATATATATATATATATATATATATATATATATATATATATATAATAACGATAAATCAATTTTTACATAGCAGGAACAGTTTTGGGGAAAAGATTCATGACGAAGTGGAAAAAGCTTTCATGAGATAAAATTTTATCTTTAGGACTTCATCGGACAAAAAATTGTTACGTTGGCGCGACTACACATGCACACGAACGAGGGATGCTGGGAAATTTAATATTTTTCTTCTTTTTTTTTTTCAAGGCAATTTCATTTAGATTATTTTTCTTTTTCGATTCGTTTCGTTTCCATTACTTTTGTTATTAGGTATAACCTCGGACTATATCTGTTTACATTGATGCGACTACGCATGCGTACGAACGAGAGGCACTGGGAAATTTAAATTAAAAAGAAATCGTTTTGATTCTTTTCTCTTTGTTTTTGTTTCCATCGGTTTTGTTATTAAATATCTCACATTGTGATAATAGACGATCTGCCAAGAATAGGGAAACGTTTTAAGAACCTGGACGCAAATTTACTATGGATGATCTAGCGATTAAAGAACTTTTTTCGTATTAGTGAATTATTTTCTTTTTTAATTAGAGTTGCATTTTTATATCAAAATTGTGCTCAGTCCCGTTGCAGTGAGCTACTAATAAGTTTAGTGTATTATTCTGTAAAATATCCCTTTTGTGTTCATATAATCTTTTATTTAACTTTCTTGAGGTTTCTCCGATGTATCGTTTGTGGCAATTATTACAGTTAGTACGGTAAGTTCCTCGTCCAAGCTTTAGCTTATTGCTTTGTTTTGTATTGTCTTTTATTATTTTAAATGTGGTTGCAACATTTTTTTCTGTTGAGTTTAGATAAATTCTTTTAATTGTAGTTGTAGCATACATTCAACATTATTTTATCATTTCACCCCAATATGAGAATGCCACTAGTACGCAGGAGGTTACAGAAGGTCGTGATGATTATAAAAAATGTTCTTCGCCCTCTCAAACCTTCTATCTTTCTGTTCTGGACTAACAAGTTGTCTCACACGTTTCACGTACGATTTCATTTTCAAGTCTTTTTTATTTTGGACTGCCATAGCTGAAACTCCTCTCTTACGTGCCAAACGTCTTATGGACTGAGTTGGATCTTTTCTAATTGATATCTTTAACTTTAAGTTGAAATGATGATCTCTCTTCCTGTTCTGACCTCCTGATCCAGTTTTCTTCTCTACTGTTCCCTCTTTTTAAAACTTATTCACCGGACTTTGAAGATGGAAGCCAGAGTATAAATGTTTGTACCGTTACTGAAAGCCCGAATCATCTTTTTCCTCGCAGCATTGCTCAGTTGGGAAGACATAGTGTGACTGACAAACGATTTCAACCTGTTCTCTTTCTAGCTGGGTTTTTCGGTGATTCTTATAACAAAATGGAGTCAAGATGGATAAACGTCTCATCTGAAAACCTGGAAAAATGAAACTCAGTTTATTGTTGGTTTTTTTTAAATATTAAACATTTTGTGTGATGAACAATTTTGTTGTTACAACATACGATATATATATATATATATATATATATATATATATATATATATATATATATATATAAAGAGAGAGATGGGGAATCAAATTAATCGAGGGAGGTAATCTGATTTAGTTGAAATGTGTTTATGAAAGAGAAGAAAGAGGAGGAATACAAATAAGTAAAGACAATTAAATAAGAAAGGAACGAAATTGAACAAAGGGAGTTAATCCATATCGTTTTATTCCTAAGTCGATCGCTTGAAAAAAAAAACAGAAAAAGAAGGCGAAGAGAAATGTTAGCATCGCTCGCGAAAAGATTAAAGAAAAACTTGGTGCAAATAGAAGAAGAAGAAGAAGAAGAAGAGGAAGAAGAAGAAGAAGAAGAAGAAGAAGAAGAAGAAGAAGAAGAAGGTGGGAGGGAAAAGAAAGGTAAGATCAAGGTGAAAAAACAAAGAAAGAGAAGAATGAGGGTAGAAAGAAAACTACAAAGGGAAAATGAGAAAAAAAAGGTGTGAGAGGGGAATATATAAATAGAAGAAATATATGAAGAAGAAGAAGATAAATAGAAGAAAAAGAAGAAAATCAAAATTTGTAAAGTGAAGGAAGAAAGAAACAAAGAAGCAAACAAACAAACAAAGAATGAAAATCTGGAAGGAAGGAAACAAAGAAATAAAAACACATTTGAAGATACGAAGGAAATAAAATAATCGTTTACAAATATAAATAAGGACACAGATAGAAATAACAACACGAAAGAAAGAAAGAAAGAAAGAAGGGAAGTATGGGTGGAGGGAGATAGTGAGAGAATAAAAGGAAAATAGAAAAGGATGAAAGAACACAGTAGAGAAAAGAAAGAAAGAAAGAAAGAAAGAAAGAAAGAAAGAAAGAAAGAAGGGAAGTATGGGTGGAGGGAGATAGTGAGAGAATAAAAGGAAAATAGAAAAGGATGAAAGAACACAGTAGAGAAAAAAGAAAGAAAGAAAGAAAAGAAAGAAAAGAAAGAAAAAGAAAAAAAGAAACAAAGAGAAAGGAAAGAAAGGGTGGAGGGAGATGGGTGGAGGGAGATAGTGAGAGAATAAAAGGAAAATAGAAAAGGATGAAAGAACACAGTAGAGAAAAGAAAGAAAGAAAGAAAGAAAGAAAGAAAGAAAAGAAAGAAAGAAAGAAGGGAAGTATGGGTGGAGGGAGATAGTGAGAGAATAAAAGGAAAGGAGAGGATAAAAGAACACAAAGAAAAAGAAAGAAAAAGGAGAAAGAAAAAGGGAACACAAGGGGTGGAGGGAGAAGTGAGAGAATAAAAGGAAAAAGAAAAAAGAAAGAAAAGAAAGAAAAGAAAGAAAGAAAGAAAGAAAGAAAAGAAAGAAAGAAAGAAAGAAGGGAAGTATGGGTGGAGGGAGATAGTGAGAGAATAAAAGGAAAATAGAAAAGGATGAAAGAACACAGTAGAGAAAAAAAGAAAGAAAGAAAGAAAGAAAGAAAAAGAAGGGAAGTATGGGTGGAGGGAAGGAAGAATAAAAGGAAAATAGAAAAGGATGAAAGGAGATAGAGAAAAGAGAAAATAAAAGAAAAAAATAGAAAAGGATGGAAAGAACACAGTAAAAGAAAAAGAAAAAGAAAGAAAGAAAAAAGAAACAAACAAAGAAAAAACAAACAAACAAACAAAAAAAAAGAAAGAGAGAATAAAAGGAAAATAGAAAAAGGATCAATTAAATGAAAGAAAAAAATGGAAACAAACAAATAAAACAAACAAAAAAAAAATATACGAAAAGGAAAAAAGATAAAAAAAAAGAAAAAGAAAAAGAAAAAGAAAGAAAGAAAGAAAAAAAAGAATTGAAGGAAGGAAAGAAGAAAGAAATAAAAAACACATTTGAAGATACGAAGGAAATAAAATAATCGTTTACAAATATAAATAAGGACATAGATAGAAATAACAACACGAAAGAAAGAAAAAGAAAGAAAGAAAGAAAGAAAGAAAGAAAGAAAGAAAGAAAGAAAGAAAGAAGGGAAGTATGGGTGGAGGAGAGAGTGAGAGAATAAAAGGAAAATAGAAAAGGATGAAAGAAACACAGTAGAGAAAAGAAAGAAAGAAAGAAAGAAACAAACAAACAAACAAACAAACAAACAAACAAACAAACAAACAAACAAAAAAAAGAAAGGAATTAATGATCAATTAAATGAAAGGAAAATGGAAGATAAAATAAAATATACGAAAAGAAAGAAAAAAAGAAAGAAAGAAAGAAAGAAAAAAAAGAAAGAATTGAAGGAAGGAAAGAAGAAAGAAATAAAAACACATTTGAAGATACGAAGGAAATAAAATAATCGTTTACAAATATAAATAAGGACATAGATAGAAATAACAACACGAAAGAAAGAAAGAAAGAAAGAAAGAAAGAAAGAAAGAAAGAAAGAAAGAAAGAAAGAAAGAAAGAAGGGAAGTATGGGTGGAGGGAGATAGTGAGAGAATAAAAGGAAAATAGAAAAGGATGAAAGAACACAGTAGAGAAAAGAAAGAAAGAAAGAAAGAAAGAAACAAACAAACAAACAAACAAACAAACAAACAAACAAACAAACAAAAAAAGAAAGGAATTAATGATCAATTAAATGAAAGGAAAATGGAAGATAAAATAAAATATACGAAAGAAAGAAAAAAAGAAAGAAAGAAAGAAAGAAAGAAAAAAGAAAGAATTGAAGGAAGGAAAGAAGAAAGAAATAAAAACACATTTGAAGATACGAAGGAAATAAAATAATCGTTTACAAATATAAATAAGGACACAGATAGTAATAACAACACGAAAGAAAGAAAGAACGAAAGAAAGGAATTAATGCTCAATTAAAAGATAGGCAAATGGATGGTAAAATAAAATACACGTTCGCTGGAAAAAAGAAAGAAAGAAAGAAAGAAAGAAAGAAAGAGAAAATGAAAAGAAGATGACTAAATCATGAAGTGGATAAAAGAAAAAAAAAGAAACAGATGATAGGAGCATTAATGAAAAGAAAGAAAGAAAAAGATGGGAAAGTAATGAAAAGAAAGAAAGAGAAAAGATGAGGGAAGAAGATGGATAAAGAAAGAAAGAAAGAAAGAAAGAAAGAAAGAAATAAAGAAAGAAAAGAGATAAATAAATAAAAGAAAGAAAGAAGAAAAAGACATTTGAAGATGAAAATAAGAGAATAGTTTACAAAAATAAATAAGAAAAAAAATAGAAACCCCAACACAATGGAAAGAAATAAAGAAAGAGAAAGCGATAACACTCCCCCGTGTTTAGCATCTGCTTCATGGAAATAGAAGATGTAGTCAATTTCAAAAGTTTTCGTTTGTACCCTCTGACCTCTTTAAATAGTTCAAGTCAACTGGTGACAGAGTAAAACCTTCACTTGCAATCAAACTTTCTTATTTTTTTTCTTTCACACATTTTAAATAACATCACTTCGTCACGGATGATATCTGAAATGGCTTTTGAGATCTGCCAGTTCTTCCCACATTGCCGACACGTCCAGTCTGCTCGCTTCAGCTTGCCTTACTCGATGCTGGCAGATCGACACATTTTATGGCGGATTGTACATGTACGACCATCGGGCATGTCATATTGATAGTTGACATCGCGATGACTACGCGTGTGGCTGAGAAGACCTGCTTTTGAAACGCAAATACAGCGACATTGGCCACATATAAGAGACTCCTTCGACCCGCGTTCTGGGAGAGGGTTGACGCCTTTCATATATCTCCCTGCACGTTTTTGCTGTGAATATTCTATCCGGCTGATCTAAAAATTCTTGACACCAATAGCAATCAAATGTTTCCATGTTTACCGTTCTGATGCAAATTCTTCCCAGGAGTCTAAACTTCTTTAAATAATAACCTGCATTTATGAGTGTTAATGCAATAGGTCGTTCAATTTTGTTTGAAATCTTTTCATTTGTACCCTCTCACATAAATAAATAAATAACCTGTATTCATAGTTATGATTGTTATTGCAATAAGTCGTTCAATTTTGTCTGAAATATTCTTATTTGTATCCTCTTACTTCTTTAAATAATAACTTGCATTAATGATTGTTATTGCAATAGGTCGTTCAATTTTGTTTGAAATCCTTTCATTTGTACCCTCTTACTTCTTGAAATAATAACCTGCATTCATGATTCTTATGGCAATAGGTCGTTCAATTTTGTCTAAAATCTTTTCATTTTTACCCTCTTTCTTCGGTAAATAATAACTTGCATTCACACTTATGACTGTTATTGCAATATTTTGTTAAAGTTGTTGAGCTCAAATATTTAACGACGCAATACGGGAAATTGCCATCGGTATTTTATTGTCGTAGCTCTCGCAAAGAACTTCAGTCATGAAAGTCAAAATCACAGTTCAACAGAAAAATCCAGTACCAAAACCGTGAAATGTTCACGGGTATTTCTAGTCGCTGATATTCGTTTCTAATAATCGCTAATGCTGTTGAAACATGTTAGATGCAGAATACCTCGGTCAGAGGTGAGTTATTGAATTGTTATTATATTACTGTTGTTGGTCTTGCAGAACGGATAATCTGACACTTTTCTGGATCCAGTGCTGCCGGAAAATCCGTAGTACGCATGTGCAAAACTTCTTGTTCGTCGATAGATTATTTTGCTCTTGAAGGAAGTTCTCACTTTCACGTCTCCGGAGAAAATGTTTCTTTTTTTTTTTTTTTTTTTTTTTTTTCAATTTTTTTATTTATTTATTTATTTATTTTTATTCTTATTTTTTTTTTTTTTTTGTAAACGTAGCCGACCTTACCGGAAGAATAAAGGCAACAGACCCCACCGAAGACGTACACCACATGGCTACACCGATGGGCGCAAAATGACCGTTTAATTGACATGTGACCATCTAAGATGGAGCGGGGCTAAACTACGAAGAGGGAAGACAAAATTGATGACGACCAGGAAATAAAAAGGAAGACAATAAGAAATGGAAGATGAACTCGAATTTATTTGAGAGGATCGTGGGGGTGGCGTTGGACAAGTTCAGTGGTCAGCTTCTGCAGAAAGAAACTAAGAACCGAGAAAAGAGGTAGGTGACAGCGGAGAGTAAATGGGTCCCCTCAGATGGTTTAATGGTGGTCTATAGAATAAAGGTAAAAAGGTGGGAAGGGCATGGTATGGGCGGATATCCCGATCGATGTTGAAGAATTGGCATTGTCAGAAGCATAGGGTCAGGTCGGTGAAAATGTGACCAATAGGAAGGAAACAGAGATGGTCAAAATGGCATAGAAACATAGAGTATGGAATATAGGAAGAAGCGAAGATTAAAGAAGAAAAAGAAGAAGAAGAAGAAGAAGAAGAAGAAGAAGAAGGGAGAAATGAAAGGGAATTAAAAATGAAGAAGAACAAGAAGAAAGATATGAAGAAAAGGAAAAAAAACGGGAAGAAGAAGTGAAAGGGCGGAAAATGAAAAGTTAAAAAGAAGAAGAAGAAGAAGAAGAAGAAGAAGAAGAAGAAGAAGAAGAAGAAAGATAGGAAGAAAAGCAGTGAAAAGAAAAAGGAAGAAAGAACGAATGAAGTAGTGAAAGAGGGTAAAAGAAAGAAAGAAAGAATAATGATAAGAAAAAGAAAGAAAAAGATGATCAAAAGTAGCTGATTGAAGAAAGAAAAAGAAAGAAAGAAAGAATGATGATAAGAAAAAGAAAGAAAAAGAAGACGATCAAAAGTAGCTGACTGAAGAAAAAAAGGAACAAAGAAACAAAGAAAGAGTAAACAAGAAAAACACTAAAAAAGAAAGAAAGGGAAGAAAGTATCCGAATATAAAAAAAGAAGAAAAACAACAAAAACAAAAACAACAGCAATAAAAAGCAAATATCATAGCAGTTGATAAAAAGAAGTGAGATGGAAGAAAGAGAGAAAGACAAAAAATAAAACGAAAATTTTCACGTAAAAGGGAATGAGAAGATAGAAATTAAATAATACATGGCGAACAATCTGTCTCAATCTATTCAACTCTATCTGTCTATCTATTGCAGATATACATATCTGTCTGTCTGTTCATATCTATCTATTTCAGTCTGTTCATTATCTATCTATCTGTCTATCTCAGTTCATACCTTATCTATCTCAATCTGTTCATCTCTATCTATCTATTTCAGTCTGTTCAAATCTATCTATCTATCTCAGTTCATACCTTATCTACTCATCTATCTCAATCTATTCATCTCTATCTATCTATTTATCTATCGATTTCAGTCTGTTCATATCTATCTATCTATCTATCTATCTATCTATCTCAGTTCATACCTTATCTATTTATCTATCTATCTCAGTCTGTTCATATCTATCTATTTATCTCTCTCAATCTATTCATCTCTATCTATCTATTTATCTATCTATCTCAGTCTGTTCATATCTATCTATCTATCTATCTATCTCAGTTCATACCTTATCTATTTATCTATCTCAGTCTGTTCATATCTATCTATTTATCTCTCTCAATCTGTTCATCTCTATCTATCTATTTCAGTCTGTTCATATCTATCTCTCTATCTATCTATCTATCTATCTCAGTTCATAACCTTGTCTATTTATCTATCTATCTCAGTCTGTTCATATCTATCTATTTATCTCTACCAGTCTGTTCATCTCTATCTATCTATCTCAGTCTGTTCATATCTATCTATCTATCTATCTATCTATCTATCTATCTATCTATCTATCTCAGTCTGTTCATATCTATCTCTCTATCTATCTATCTATCTATCTCAGTTCATAACCTTGTCTATTTATCTATCTATCTCAGTCTGTTCATATCTATCTATCTATCTATCTATCTATCTATCTATCTATCTCAGTCTGTTCATATCTATCTATCTCAGTCTGTTCATATCTATCTATCTATCTATCTATCTATCTATCTCAGTCTGTTCATATCTATCTATCTATCTATCTATCTATCTATCTATCTATCTATCTATCTCAGTCTGTTCATATCTATCTATCTCAGTCTGTTCATATCTATCTATCTATCTATCTATCTATCTATCTATCTATCTCAGTCTGTTCATATCTATCTATCTAAATAGCTAGCTATCTAGCTTCTTCTTCTATGTGCCGTGCCCCTTTTGGACGTAGGCGATAGTGGTTCTCCACAACTTTCTATCCCTCGAGGCCCTTAGCAGCGTTTCTCCTTTTGCCAAGCCTCCGACATCTATTCATACATGCTCGTCAGGGGGGGGCGCTGCCTTCGCCTATCTCTCTTGCTCTCGTTAGGCCTTGTGAGTGTTAAGTTTTCCAAACCATCCTACCTCATTACGTGTCCTATAAATTTCACCTCTCTCTCATTCTGATTCTTAAAATAATTGTTCCCTTTACCATTTTCTTTAAGTCTTCCTCACTGACTACTCGAAAACAATTTTTCCGGCCTGAAAACAAATGAAAAACACCCAAAACGCCTCAATGCAAATATATCCTGATTTAAATCATGAAAATAAATTATTTTACGGTATCAATAGATATATGTTTTACTTCTTTACATTAAAAGAAAAATTTCTTACATAAAATGTACTTTCAATAAGAAAAAATAATAATTAATACTAATGACGCAAAAGAAGGTTTATTGTTCCACGTGCTTTCATGGTTAAAAAAATTGCGTGGAAATTTGGAGTAATAGCTTAAAAATAATAAGTATAATTTTAATGCACATATTTGTTACTTCCTCACACTTATTTGAAAATACGTAAAAGCATCATAGCATCTATTTATTTGCCATCAAGTCATGTGACACATATAGCTTATTCACGTTCCAAGTTGTTGTTTATAATAAAAATTTTAATGTATTTTAATGAATTGTAGAAATATATGCTGTCTTGGGGATATTTAAATTTATTTAATAATGTTGTTATAATGTATTATGAATGTTTATTATTTTTCGCACACAATAACTGGAATATAATATGCAAATGTTTCGTTATATACGTGGGTTTATATAAGGATGTGTATCAAAAACAAATATTGGATTTCCTATTAAAATGCCAGAAAAACGGCCCTAGCTCAAGAAGCCCTTGTCTAATTCTAAATTTAGCATTTTATTCGGCAGGGGTTCAAGGTACAGTATGCTTCTAAATAGGTTGGGGTATTATATATTATTTAGAGTTTTATAGAATCGCTTTCATCGCAATTCTTCTGTTAATCTTTGAGAGTAATTTTACATCCTTATTGCTCAAAGTAGTGTCCAATAGTGTTATAAAAACCCCTTGTCTAATTTTCATAAAATAATAAGTATATTATTTAAATTTATTTAATAATGTTGTTATAATGTATTATGAATGTTTATTATTTTTCATAGACGTTATAGCTGGAATATAATATGCAAGTGTTTCGTTACATATGTGGATTTATGTAAGAGTGTGTATCGAAAGCAAATACTGAATTTCCTATTAGAATTGCCGTAAAAAAAACAGAAAAACAGCCCTATCTCAAGAAGCCCTTGTCTAATTCTAAATTTAGCACTTGATTCAGCAGGGATCCAAGGTACAGTATGCTTCTAAATAGCTTGGGGTATTAGGTGTCTTTTAGAGTTTTACAGATTAAGAAAAAATAAGCGCAATGATATGCTAAATTTTTCAAACGAAAGAAACAGTGAGAAAGTGACTGAAGTCGAGATGCCAGATCAGATTTATGAATGGGCAAGGTGGATTTTAACAAGAAAAATTGTCTGGCATGACACAGTGAAACAACTTTCCTAGCAGTAGATCTAGCAATTGATTCAATATAATGACTCCACTTCATGTCAATGGAAAACGTGGAACCAAGAAGACACAAAGTGTTGATCTCTTTGATGTTTTCAGCATCAGCCATGCTGACGGCAGACAGAAAAAGTAATTTATCTAGCTTTTTTTTTTAATTTTACAATTAAATCAACCATGCTGATAGGAGGCAGGAAAGTTTCCCTGTGGTGGGTAAATGACAACAGTTTTATTTGTATGTATGTATGTATGTATGTATGTATGTATGTATGTATGTATTAGATGTTGGTAATATCATTTATTTCAAAAATAAAAAGACCCGGTGATGGCTGTGTGTATGTCATGGTTTGTGGCGGAACAAAAGAATAATTCGTCAAAACATTTACCATGGAAGTAGCAAGAAGATTGCGATGTTAACTCTGTGAAATCAATAAAAAATAATTCGTAATAAAAGTCCTCCTAAAAATGTTGCAACACTATCAAGGCTGGATAGACTGTACCAATAATAATAATAATAATAATAATAAAATATGAAGAATAGTAAAAATGAGAAGAACAAAATAATAATTACAATAATAATGATGATAATAAAATAATGATAATGATAATAATAAAAAATAAAATAAAAAGAATGATAATAATAACAGTATGTAATAATAATAATAATAAGAAGAAGAATAACAATAATAAAATAATAATAATAATGATAGTAATAATAAATAACAGTAATAATATAATAATAATAATAATAATAATAATAAAATGATCATCGTAATAATAATAATAATAATAACAATAATACGAGTACACCTTACGAACGGCTTTATCTCCGTAAAACATGTGTGATTTTTTTTCAAAACTGCTCAATGGAAAATGTCATAATGCCATTTCTGACCTTAATTCTGTGGTCGGAACCAGGAAGGAAATGAATACACACCAGAAATCAAAGGAATAATAATAATAATAATAATAATAATAATAATAATAATAATAATAATCTGAAATCGAAATCTTAGAAATGTGGCACATGGGAGCATCAACAATCCCTGTTTTAACTGAAGCCCTCGGATACCAATCCGAGGGCTTCAACTACAACAGGAGACTCAAGGAAGGGAAGCCCATACCTTAAAGAAATGCAAAACATTGTTCTCACGAGTACAGCCCACACCTTACGAAAGGCTTTATCTATGTAATATATATATATATATATATATATATATATATATTTACACGATCTCTTCGCTAATTTATTTACACGATCCTTCCCTCGTTACAAGTATATATACTTGTTTGTTATTTTAGTGTGTTTCCCCCTCTTTTTTTTTTTTTATCTCTTCAATATCGTTAATATTCTTTTTCGCTAATCCAACGATTGTCTCCTGATGAGATGTTGGCTGAAAGGGCCCTAGAGACTTTTTTAAAATTAAAATCAATTGTTTCCTTGTTTTTAAAACTATTTATAAATTTTGTACCTCCAAACATTTGTTTATATATATATATATATATATATATATATATATATGATGCCATTTCTACCTTTAAAGACAATGAAAGAAACAATGATTTAAAATCAATCATCATTTTCTTGCAAAAAATGTGCGGCACGCAGCAAGGTGCGGGTAACTCGGCTAGTATATATATATATATATATTATGAAATGGACAAAGTCTGACCATTATTTTAAGACATTTTTATGTTTATACATTATTTTTTTATAGATGCAAATATTTAAGTAAATGTTCTGTTTATAATAAACAGTATTAAACAACATTACCGGTTTGATGTCCGAGAAATTTCCATAGAGAAATATGCGTCCTCCGACAGGAATCGAACTTGTATCCTATACGGAACCGTCATTTAGATTGCTAACCAAACACTCCTTCGTGGTCAAATCGGTAACGGCACGTCAAGCAAAATGATGGTTCCGTATAGGATACAGGGTCGAACTTGTCGGAGGACGAATATTTTGTGAAAATTTCTCGGACATTCAGGCCGGTAAATGTTGTTTATTATAAACAGAGCATTTACTTAAATATTTGTATATATAAAAAGAATGTATAAACATAAAATGTCTTTTTATATATATATATATATATATATATATATATATATATATATATATATATATATATATATATATATATATATATATATATCCGAAAAGGAAGGTCGCTACTTATCTATGGCATAAAATTAGTATTTTTTTTTTTTGGCCGATTCAACTTACGTTTGGCCAGGAGTGCAACGTCTAAACGCCATGATGGGTGTTATTGGGTTTCGTATATCCATACCCCAACGTAGCTTGGTGGGTTGCTCCCTCATTTTATAATAATAATAATGTAAATAATATTATTATGAATTTGGGTTAGGTAGAAGTGACCGTCTGAGGCCGAATTATATCCTACGATAGTGACTTGAGCCACCGACTTCAAAGGCAGGTACACTAATCAGTAGCCAGCACATCCGAGTTATTCCATGAACCCCGCAGGTCTTTTCCATCAGCCGTTTTCTGTTAATAAACGACAGAATGAGTCTGCCTCGGTTTTTCTTTGTGTCACGGAGCCAATGGCATCGGTGGACCCACATTCTCACCTTGAAGGTAAGTGGTTTTCTGCTGCACACTTCTGTTGTAAGTAATTCCCGCAACCTGCTCCCCCCTTGTTTGGTATAATGGACGACTCCACATAAGTCTATAAATAGACTAGCATAATTCTTTTTTTATGAAGCTGTATTAAAGTTACTGCCGCCTGTCTAACTCTCTGCATTAGCAGGGTGGAACCCAGACGAAGCTTTGCCGAAGGGCAAGGTTTCGTTCGGGGAGGTTGACAGGCCTCGAAACCGCCTAGGCGGGTTCGAAGGCTATATTTTTGGCCGGGCCTACGGGCTCGGATGACCCACATTAAACTCGGCTTTGTGCCACATTCGATCCCACGTGGGGGGATAGCTAAATATTAGCTGTATTAAAGTTGAATAAAGCTTACTTAAGTTTATTCACCTCTGATTATTCACTACAACTTCCCACCTCTTCCCATTTTTTGAAGGCCATTTGAAGGTGAATTATTATTATTACAGTGATCATTTTTATTATTATTATTATTATTACAGTGATCATTTTTTTTATTATTATTATTATTATTATTATTATTACTGTTATTTAGAGTGATAAAAATTGACCTACGAGAAACCTCAACTCTGTATATAAGATACAGAGCAGGTTTTAACTATTGTATTTATTTATATAGTTTTATCTGAAAATTTTCGTCATATATGCCATCAAATGTGTTACATGACTGAACTGAATTCCACTGACTGAACCCCTTTCGTATTCCAGAGCAAAGACCT